TGCAGCTTGGACTGCCCTCCCTTTCCCCAGAGGCAGGGCAGAGGCTGGGAGCCTGCCCTCCTTCAGCTCTGCCTACCCCTCTCCCGGGTCCTCGGGCCAGTAACTAAAGAACTGGGCATGGAGCAGTAGGCCCTCCCCAGAAGAGGCACATTGCAAACAGCAGCACTGTGCACAGACAACCTCCCACCCCAGGGAGCAGCTGCCCCAACGCCCTCAGGCGCCACTAGCCTGTTTATTTTAAACAGCATCTCAGCAACACTTGCCGTAAGTTGCATCATTTCTATTGCCCCCGGCAAAGGGCGGTAAGGGTGGTTCGAAACCAAACCCAGAGCCTGGCATTCCCCCGCTCCCTTCTTTTTGCCACCTTTGCATATCATATAGGCATATTTGCACTGGAGTGTGATGTAAAAAGCTTTGGATTTTACGATACCCACTCTGAAAGCTGTACGTTTTAAAATGATCAAAGGAAATACTTTTGCACCCAGCGAAAAGTTAGCCTGTGGCACTCCGTGACACACGACACCGAGAGCTTAGGTAGACTTCAAAAGAGGACTGGACCTTAGGATTGATTGCAAGAACACGCAGAGTTAAACCAGGCTTTGTTTTGCTAAGAGTTGTGAGAAGGAGAGAAACCTTCTGGGCATAAACCAACCTCTAACTAAGGGGCAGTAACGGGGTCAGGATAGATCATTGCCTGAGGGCAAGTTATCTCATCACTGTGGGGTTCTTGCACCTTCTTCTGAAGCAGTTGGCGCTGGCCACTATCAGAAACAGGGTCCTGGACTAAGTGGACCCACTGGTCTGAACCAGTCTGGCACTTTCTCTGCTCCTGTTCTTGAGAGGAAGCATCAGCCAGTGGTTAGGGTGAAAGCTTGGGGTTCAGGAGACCTCAGTTCAATTCCCTCTCTGCCACAGACTCTGTGCGACCTTGGGCAAGTCACTTGATCTCTCTCTCTCTGTGCCTCCATTTCTGCAGCTGTACAATAGGGATAAAAGCCCTGCCCTGCCTCCCAGGAGGTTGTGAGGATAAATACATTAAAGATTGTGAAATGCACAGACACTCCAGTGATGGGATCTGTGTAAGTACCAGATCGGGAGATGTTCTTAGGGATAGCTGAGCATTCCTGGCCCAAACCTAGATGGACTGAGCCCCCCATGCAGACAACATGGTCGAAGCTCCACTTTGTGCCTCGCTCAGCTAGGCAGTCACAGCTGGGGAACTAAACGGTGACCAGACAGAACACTCAGCCGCTTCAGATGAGGCGAGGCATTGCCACAGAGCCCGCTGCAGAGAAGTTATTTACTTTCCATGTGCTTTGCATAATTTCCCTTGCCACCTTTCCTAATTATCAAAGCAAACTGGCTCGGAACAAGGGAATTCTCCAGCACGCCTCATCTTCCTGCAGAGAAGGCAAGGCTGGATGCGTGGCGCCAGCTAATGTGAACGCAGCCGGCTGTAGCATAAGATCAAGCAGAAATAGAAACTGGATCATGTCCTGAAAAGATCGACACAAAACAGGGGCCGGGAACAGTAGGAAGGGGTGTGGTCCCACGGTTAAAGCAGAGGACTGGGATTCAGGACTCCTGGGTTCTAGGCCCAGCTCTGCCACTGGTGGACCCGGGCAAGTCTTTTCACCACTCCGTGCCTCAGTTTCCCCATCTGGAAATTTGGGAGTGTGCTGCACCCACCTGATGCATTTTGATGGTAAACTCTTTGGGGGAGGGACTGCCTTTGCGTTGTGTGCATACATCCAGCACAAGGACTGTGCTACCACACTACCCATATTAAACAATCCATAGTCATTCATATTTCTAGCTACTCATATGGCCCTCATTATTGTAGACTCCAATAATCTCATTCATTAATGGACTTTATCCTGCCAACACCTTTCCCCAGGGTCAGGCACAAAGTGAGTAGCAGAGTCGACAACTGAAACTAGGTCTCCGGCGTCCCTACCCACTAAACCATCCTTTGCACCCCTGATGCGCATCTCCTTTGTAAAGAGCTTTGAAGTCGACTGCTGATAAGAAATAGGTATTATTATCTAGGCACTGGGACATCCCTAAATGAAAGAATCTATAGAAGTGCATGAGAAACAGAAGTGCTGACTAGTTTGTCTTCTGGATTTCTGCATTATTTTCTCCAGCATGAGGCACAAGAAGATTTTTACCTCTTACTCCAAACAAATCACCTCTAACTTCAATGCTTTTATGTTTATTGCAAAGGCTAAGAGGAAATCAAAGTCAATGGCAAAAAAAAAATCAAATTATTTTCTACATCCATGTACAGAATAAGCCTGGCGGTCAGGTACCGGGAAGGCATTTATTCACCACTGCTTATTAGCATTAGGAACGCTCTAATTAATGTGTATAATCGCCGGAATGATGGAGAAGTGTATCAGGGGAGTTATAAACTTTTCCATCCCTGCAGCTGAGGACTGCTGCAGCTAAAGCAGGATGGGCAGTGGACGCTGGCGACAGAAGCCAGAGCCCCGACCAAGATGCAGCCCTGACAACAGAGCAGCCACTGTGATTTATAAAAGCAGCTAGCAGACCAGCCAGGGGAACGAAAGGGGACTGAGCTGGGTAGTTTCAAAGTGAGGACTCGGCCTCCTCTGGAGACATCTGAAGTCTAAATGAATGCAGGGAGGGGACGGCTTGGGAATAGGAGAATGAGCTTTTCCAGTGCTAGGTCACGGCTATGAATCCACATGGAGCACGCAACAGCTGAAAGCCATTGGGTAGCTGCATGACAGTAGTTCCGTCTGCTCCCAGTAAGATGAGTCTTTGTATCCCAAAACCCACAACTGGCATGGAGCCCTGGGTTTACATGTCAGGGGTGAGGCCAAAGGACTGGATAAGCCATGGAAACAACTTCACCCCCTTTCCACACCACGACTCTGAGTGACGAGGGTTTGCCCCGTGTTGGTCATGGGTAAAAATAGGATTGCATTGGTCACGGCTGGCAAGCCAGCACCTTTCCCCAGTGCTAGCTCCATTTTAATCACAAATCCTTTGCCTTCTTTAGTACAGTTCCTGCCAGGCTCTCAAAGCAGTTTATAAATGGAAATGAATTAAGTCTCACCACGCTCCTATGCACCAGGACAACATCCCTTCCTGCTTGCAGATGGGGAAACTGAGGCACGGGGGAAGTGATTCACTCAGGGAACAGAAATCTGGGCTACTGCCGCCTCATGTCCTATCACCTGTTAGATCTCACTGCCCTCCCAGAAGTCCCGACTCCTCAATCCTGTTTCGCTTAAAAAGAAGAGAGGCACAAGAGCGAACTGAGTCATTCACTGACTACAGCAGGACAGGGAAATGTTCCGAGGGCTAGTTCCTTGCTTTCACCCTTTTGATTAGGCGAGGCTGCTGGCAACCAGGGTTATTGAGAGACTGAAAAATCCCAAACCCAGAGCAAATTTTGGGCTGTCAGTCAAGTGACTTTTGGTGTGTTCCAGCATTGGCAGCAGCGTGGAAAATTTGTCTTTGCTGCTCCGCTTTCTAGCCTGGCCCCTTGCTTCTCCTTTCCCTTTGTCAGCCTGTGATAGGAGGGTTGCTTATTGCACTGTCCACAGGGAGACCTATTGGCCATCTATGGAGTGGCGTAGGCACAGACAACAGAGGCAGCTGTTTGTTAGCTTCGCCAGCGATCAGCTTCAGAACAAAAAGCTTGGAGTGGAGAACAGGGAGAAGGTTTATTTCTCTCTTCATAGAGGAATAAATACCGAGGGGGGAGGGAGAGAAAAATCAGTCAAGCAGCCTTCTGAAAACAGCATGAGCATTAAATCTGCATGTGGAAGGAACAAAACAACAACTTTAAAATACGGCTGAAGCCCTGACGATAGCAACGTGATTTTTGATTAAGTGTAACAATAATTCCATCCTGGCCTTAAGTAGAACCATTCATCCATAAATCTTACAGCATTTTGTAGAGGAGAGCAAGTATCATATATTGAACGCAACCTCCTCTTTTAGGAAACTGTTTGTGAGCTCATATCTTTGAGTTCCCCTTCACCTAAACAGCTTCATTTGCAGAAATATTCTATCGAGGGCAATTCCAGGCAGATTGGTTTAGTTCTGACAGAGTTGGGGTGGGTTAGAAGTTAGGTAGATGAAGGGTGTCAAAATCGGTTACCATGCAAGGGTAGTTTTTCAGCCTAAACTGAGACATGAAGCTTTTCTCCATCATTACTAGGAGCAACGAGAAGAACATGAGCAAAGGAACAGTCCGTCTTGGAGTCTCAGGAACGGTGTCCTGACAGCAAGACGTATTAGTGAGTGGAGCAGTTTCCCTAAGGGAAGCAGTGGAAATCCATAGCACGCATCACTTCAAGACTCAACTGGAGAACAGACGGAATAACTAACCCTTCAGGAGGCTGAATAGGATGTTTGGGTTGGAACTGACCAGCTCCACTTTCTTTGATTTGTTCCTTTACACAAATCTCAGCTGTTCACTTGGGATATCAACATCACTTTCTTGTCCTTAAATCACGGATACTGAAGGATGGGAGGAATTTTTGATACAAAAAGTTAATCCAGGGCCATTGGTCCCTTCTGACCTTAGAGTCTATGAGTTGCTATCACTAAATGCTCAATCCTGCAAGGTGCTGAGGTCAGTGCTCATTATTAATCAGGTTTATTTTGTGATCGTGCCTAGGGGCTAATCAAGATTGGGGGCCCATTGTGTTAGGCGCCGTATAAACCGAGTAGCAGACGATCCCAGCCCCTGAAAGGCTGACATTCTAAAAAGACAAGGGAAATGACTCCCAGCTCAATCTCCGGACATAGCTCTCTCCTCCTTCGGCCTATTATAAAAGGAGAGAAAAGCTTTGTTGTGAGGAAAGTAAATATCTGACAAGTTCCATTTCTCCCAAGAGCAACAGACATGGCAACATCCAGTGGACTACATTCCCCAGAGTTCCTTGGTCCTATAAGCAGCAGCAATGGAGAAAGGCAGTGGGAGCAAAGGATTAGTTTGTAAGTAGTGATTTTTTTTGTTTTTAATTAAGCCAAGCTATTTATATATGTACAACCCGGCTGCCTCCCAAGTATTGCACTATTAAAAAAAGGAGGAGATCTGACATCTAATTATTTGTTCAACACACCTTCCCTTGTCCGCACTGTAATGTACATAGATTCACAGCAGCTGTCGGACAATTCTTCAGCTAATCCAGATAAAAGAGGTACAACCAGGGCTCAGAGAGCAAAGAAATCTGCCATCCATGTATGTCCCAGAGAGGCCCTTCCTTCATGTGCTTCATACCCACCCCCATTCTGGAAACATATCCATGGTAGTTGGGAGGTGGTAGCATCCAGTACTGACCCTCTTCAGAGTTGCCCAAAAGGGAGGACAAAGATTCAAGGCCCTTGGAAACTTTAAAGCAACATGATCTCTTTAGGATTTAGTCAACAGTTTTTGGGGGGAGTTTCTTCTGTTTCTGGGTTCAGTTTCTTGGGCTCACCCTTGGATAGCGATCCACCCGTGTCCCTATCAAGGCAGAGACATTCCAGTGTCAGCCAAGCAGTTTTAGTCAGAACAGTTGTAATCCAAGTGCTGGGGTTCCTGAACCCATGGGAAGCACTCAATAAGCCACGGCCCCTCCGTCCCCAGGGCTGCTGAAAAGCACGTGCGCTTTGGCGTTGATGAAGTAGGTTGCGAGGAGAGAGAGGATCAGAATGGCGATGCCCACGACCAGTGTGATTATCTAGGTGGGGACAAGAAAGGAAACATGTAATGGTGTGGTTACAAAGACAGAATGACGGACTCACTTTGTAAAGGCTCCTGGATGCTGAAGCATCTCAGCAGAGACTCAGTATTGTATTGTGGTGACTCCTAGGGGCCTCAATCAAAGCTCCAGACTCCATTGTGCTAGGTGGTAAAGAGTGGGTCTCCACCCAAGGAGCTTAGTGTCTAAAACCAGAGAAACAAAGGAATTGCCAGTCTGGACCAGATCCATGTTCCATCCAGCTTTTTGTACTCCCAGCATTATGCTTTAGAGAAAGGGAGAACAAACCTTGTATTAGGTAGATGTAGGATTAAACTGCTCCCCACATTAGTTTTTCTTCTAATTCCTAATCGTTAGAGATTGGTTTAAGCTCCAAGCATGAGGTTTTAATAGCTCTTCCAAAATGTATATTTGCATTAACTATTTTATCCTCAGACACGTCCAATCCCCCTTTGAATCTTGGCCTCAACTACATCCAGTGGCAGAGAGTTCCACAGGCTAAGTGTTGTGTGGGGGGAAAAAATTCATTTCTTGATTCTGAATCTGACGTATTTTCATTTCATTGAATGTCCCTTTATTCTTGAACCATCAGACAGGAAAAGCAGAAGCTCCCTGTCCACCTTATCTTTACAATTTGTTATTTACAAACTTTGATCATCTCCTTTCTTATTTGATGCCTTTTTAAGAAAGCAGAGAAATTAACTGGTCAGTTTATTAGTTCTTTATTTCAACGGATACATACACACGACTGAGCATCAATCCTTTGCCCTTGCAGATCTTATTATCCATGCCTAAGGTCCCATAATGGGCTGCTCTTCCTAGACAAACACCTACCAGTGGCAAAGCCAGAGGGACTGCGCCTGATTCTCCTTTAAACCAAGGCCCCTTTATACTGTCACAGGGTCATAAAGGAGCCTTCGTGTAACTGAGAAGCCAGCTCATTAGTGACTCACTAGGATATTTAAGGGCTAAGACATGGCAGGCAGGGAGTTACACTTGCCTAGGGTGGCGTTAAGAGGCACAACACAGACCGAGTAACCACCCGCTGAGTGAGTAACAACCCAAGCAGCCCAGCAACTGCCCCGACATGCATGCCCAGCCCCTGGGTGACTTATTGCTGTAACACACATGACGATGAGAGTCAGGTCTGTACATTCACAGGGTTTAGAGACGGGGTATGACATCGCTAACAGCCAGCCAGAGAGCTCCAAAGTAGGCCCACAGTTCAAAAGCCATCTCAAAATTAACCCTTATTTGGCTGGTAGCTAAACATCAATGCAGCCATTGGGAGGGTGCTGAAAGAATTTTGTTGACCTTACTAAAAACCTGGATCAATCCTGTAAAAGAAACTGAGACAAGCTGTGATTCTCTGCTTTTAAATGAAAGATCTGATAACGTATTGATTTGTATTTCATCCCTGGATTTTCTTATAAAGGCACCTGAGCCATGGCTGGCTATCGTACTGCGCAAAATCAAAATAAATTCCATTTCAGAAATACACCAAACACATTAAGGTTGCAAAATCAAGCACTCGAAAGACAGGTTGAATTCTGGCTTTTCCTTCTTTTTGCTCACGCATGATACCACCTTTACTTATATGATCACATGTAATTAAGGTGGAGTTAATGGTGACATTTAAATTATCACTATTAGGATTCAAAGTTAACATCCCACTAGGATGTCTCAGCTCCCCCCGGCCAGCCCCCCAAGGCTATCTACAGATCCAAGCAACGGCACTTCATTCACACTTGGTTCATGTTTGGAAGGCTTTCCTTCACCAGAAGGGCTAGAACTTTTGTTTCTAAAAGGAAGAACTCATGCAGCACAATTCCACAAGGGCAAAACTTCTGAGCAATCAGAGCCCTGATTATACACGTTTTGGCAAGACAAATGGTTAATGTACAGAATATTCTTACATTTATACAGGGCCCTGGCAGCCCAGAGGATCCCAAAGCATTTTACATGCATAATCCAACACACAATATACAGGACGCACCTTCAGTTTAAGTTGGGAGGGAGCTCAGAGCAGTTTAAGAGCATGAAGCATCATTATGCAGCTGTTTAGGGGAAAAACTGAAGCCTAACACGGTGTCTAGCTAAACTACAAAGGGGAACTGAATGGAATTATCCTTGTTGGAATTTTGCTAGAAGACTACAGTTAAAGCCTTCAGTCTTGCAAAGTGTCCCAAGTTCTTTAGTCACCAAAAATGGTCAAAAACCCTCACCCCATATTAGGCTATTGGTTCAGAAATGACGTTGGGGGGGGGGGGAGGGGAAGCATCTATTGCATCACTGATGCCACTTTCTGCGACACCCTGGATTTCTGTAGAGGGTCTCCTAAGAGTTGACCAAGCCCAACCCTGATTAGCTGGTGAGATCTGATAGGAGGATAGCACAAGGTGTCATAAAACACCAACTCACCTCCAGCTCCTTGCTGGCTACGAGAAATATGCGGGCGCGGATATCCTTCCAGCGGCTCTCTGTCCACGTGGAGTATTCTGTGGAGCCCCACTGCTTCAGCTCGAAGGCAGGAGAGGCGGCCTTGGTTAGATGGACAGTTGACTGGACACAGAAGGGAACTCGCGATGTTGAGTTTGGGTCCCTGGAACCCTGCACCCATGTATAAACGTACATCTGCAAAGAGAATGCCGGGGAGTGAGACCCAACAGGGCACTGGCAAAGAACCATCAGAACCTTTTTTTCTGGAACCTCACTTGCTCTCCGGGATCATAATAGGGTTGTACTGACTGTATGAGGTTCACTTCACCCATTGCTGAAAAGCGTCTCTCTCTGAGGTGGAGCGTGGGTTGTTTAACTACACATAACAGTGTACAACAGCTGAGGACTGGGAATGACAGTCCTGTGTCCAGCTGAAACTGAAGGGGAATTTATGTTGGCAGAACGTAATTCACAAGTTGGAGTTTATCCAGGATCTCAGGGCTAATGCCCCATCTCTTGTCGAAGGCATCATGGGATCTTTGATACCCAGGAGTGGCCAAGGTCTCAGTTTTACGAGTCTCTGTAGAAGCTTGAGAGATTGACTGGCCAAAGAATGAAAGACCCTGACACCAGGACTGGGTAGAGGCCCATGGGTGGTGGATGTTTGCACTGCCAATGCCTGTGCTGTACGTGCTGCAGGTGGTGAGATCAGACTCAATTACAGGGTATGTCAGAATGGCATCATTCACGGGCAGTCTACTGGACACTCAAAGCGCCATCAGACTGATGCATCTGTGATCCAAGTTGCCATCCCAGCTGTACTCACTTTAAAGGAGCACTCCCTTCTGAAGCGTCTCCCGCCTCAGGCACTAGGATGCCTCTATGAGGGAGGAGGACTTTCCTCATCTCTCCCATGTCTTGTTCAGGACAGAAGGAAATTTTTCCATCTAGCTTTCCTTCAGAGAGGCGAAAGTGAGACCAATTCATCGCAGGGACGTCAGTGGAGTTCACTAGCCCAGCATTTCTGTTCCTATCCCCCACCTTCGTTGTACTCAGATGGCAACTTACTTCCTTCTCGGGGTTGGGTGTTTTTTCAGGGTTCAGGCACTCCTCCTTGGTGAAATTGACAACCGTGCCTGTGAGATTGGCCAGAACGTACTGCACTAGCTGGGTGGTGTTCACCAGTGTGGTAACCGCAATGTAGTGCTGGGGAAGTTCATCGCCTGGGAGAGTCAGAGAAAACAAGATTGGCAGGGAGAAAGCCAGATGCCAAAGAGGCTACCACAGAACTTTAGAAAGTTCCCAGGTGACATATCAAGGTCTAAGCTAGCTCTGAATTCTTCCCCAGACCATGCTTACCCAAGAGTCCTTTCAGGTCCTGTTTAATGATGGACTGGAACCAGGAGTTGTTAGTTTTAATCAGAAACCCATAGAGCATTCTGGAGACCTGAAAGTGAGATGGAAATGGGTTCATCCACATTCAACTTTACAAGACGAATCAGGAAGTACATCAGCATAAGGCTTCAGCTGGAGTACCGTGTCCCGTTCTGGGCACCACACTTTGGAAAAGATGTGGACAAATTAGAGAAAGGCCAGAGGAAAACAACAAAAATGATAAAAGGTCTAGAAAACATCACCTATGAGGGAAGGGTGAAAACACTGGGTTTGTTTAGTTTGGAGAAGAGAAGACTGAGGGGGATTGGTCCTGCTAAATTGTTCTCCTTAACCACTGAGGACAGGACAAGAAGCAATGGGCTTAAATTGAAGCAAGGTAGATTTAGCTTTGACATTAAGAAAACTTCTTAACTGTCAGGGTAGTTAAGACTGGAACAAATTACCTAGGGAGGTTGTGGAATCTCTGTCACTGGGGGGGGAGGGGAAGAGTTGTTTAAGAACAGGTTAGACAAACACTTGTCAGGGACGGTCTAGATAATACTCAGGTGTGGAAACGTGATATAATGGCTGAAGCACAAGGCTGGGAGCCAGGCTACCTGGGTTCCATTTGCAGTTCTGGGAGGGCGGATGATCTAGTACCTAAAGTGAAGGGCTGGGAGTTGAGAGTCCTGGGTTCCGTCCCCAGCTTTGCCACCAACTGCTTGCATGACCCATCTGTGCATCAGTTCCCCCCATTCCACCCACCCCCAACTCTACAAAACAAGGATAAATATTGCTCAGTTTTGTTGAGGGCTTGTGTAGCTCAATGTCTAAGACACTGGGATCTGATGGGAGGCACGAGAGAAGGGTAAAGTGTTAGTCATTCAGCTCTGGTGGAGAAAGGGAGAGGGAGGCAGGCACCCAGGGAGACAGACAGGCCAGCATGCTGTGTAAACACACATAAACAGAGACAGAAGGGAAATACGTGAGAGCTCAGCATGGATGCCAGGGACTGGATCCCATCTGCTCGTACCATTCTTGGATCCGCCTGAATAGCAGAGGTGTTGCCGGTTCCCCCCGCAAGCTGGTAGAGAGCACGGGCGACCACTGTGGCTACTTCTGCCAGGGACTGCAAGGAAAGAGGGCTCTGTGTTAATCAAGACAGGCAGGCCCAGAACAACAGGGAAGGAGAGCCAGCCAGTCCCCACACATCCATCAAAGCATTTATAGCACATTCATATCTAAGCGCCTAATGCCACCAGCCCAGTCGAAAGCACCCCAGCAATGGGAAGAGAACCCAGCACCCAGATCCCCGCCACCCCCCCCGTCTCCACCCCCCTGCGAGCAATGGACAGAAACAATGTTTTGCAGAAACCTTAGCTGTGTCAGTGACATAGTCCAGGGTCTCCTCGGGGCTAAGCCCCTCGGGATATTTCATCAGGATGTTCTCTGCTGTGTCATACATGCTCTGGTAATATCTGAAAGAGGAAGGGAAACAGGATTGGGGAAGGGGGCGGAAAGAGATCACAGGGCATGGAATTCAATTCAGTCCATGCCTGAAGCAGACATTGGGAGTGGTCCCCAGGGAGTGAAGTCGCAGCTTTGCCAGAGCGCTGGCCTCCCACGCACTCCTTAAACCATTTAATGAGGCTTTATAATTATCTTTGGGCCTTGCACCACTTCTCCCATCTGAGGATCTCAACGCAACTGACGAGCAGTGATTAAACCTCAGTTGGGTAGGCGTTACCCCATCCGTTACGCGGATGGAGAAACTGAGGCACAGAGCAGGGAAATGATACACGAGGCCACAAGTCAGCGGTGAAGGTGGGAACAGAATCTAGAAGTGCCGATTCCTAGTTCCTTTCTCCAACCGGACCTATTGACTCTCCTGCACTGACAGGTCCGAGGGATTCCAAGTTAACTTTGTGACAGCCTTGCATCAAGACATCTGCAGCAGCAGCGGCACACAGCTGAATCGAGGACTGGGCGAAAAGCCCAGCACAATGGTCTGTGCTTCCAGGTTGGATGGGAACATTGAAAGCAATTTCCCAAGAGTGAAGAAGAGTTGGAAGGACGAGATGCACTACCCTCGTCTCCAAAATTCTCCAGCGCGCCCAGAGCTGTGCTGCTCGGGAGTTTGGAAGGTGGCTGCTTCCCCTGGCTGTCTGCAGAGACAGCGTGACGGATCAGAGAAGGGGCTGGGGATGAGGGGAGAGAGGCAACCTGGAATGACGGGATGGGTAAGAGCCACAAGCAATTCCCTTCCCACTCCCACCCCCTCCACTTTCCAACGCCCCCTGGGAGAGGATGCTCATGGAACATGCCACGAGGGGGTCAGGTGGGGTAAATGGAAGAGCCTCTTCCACTGCCTGGGGCCCCTGCCACCGCAAATAGAAAGATATATTAAAAAAACAGCAGCTTCTGGAAGAGCAGATGAGGCTCAGGCACGCTCAGCTGCCATTTGCTCACCTCTGGCTCCCAGCCAGCTGCGGGGAACGTTTTCTGTACAAAACTGGATTTTTTTCGCTTGTCAGGATAATTATGTTGCGCCTGTTCAATTACATGGCACATGGTTGCTCCCCCCACTCCCCTCTGTCCTCCATCCACCACACTGCTTGTATGGGAGGCAGCGCACCCCAAGCTGGGATGTTCTGGGAGGCTGAGCTGCCCTCTGCTGGCTACCACTGGAAATGGAGTCTATGTCCCCTTCTGAGCTGGGCACCTCCCAGAAACAGTTTTGCACGGTGTTTGCTAAGCTTTGATAGTGCCCCCAACCCCAAACACTGGAAACAGAGGCTCCAGCCACATGGGGGCAGATGCTGGCTGTGGTGAGAGTGCACACACCTGGGTTTCTTTACCACGGACTGCAGAGGGAGTCAGGTGTGTTTGGGTTTCTATTAGAAAATGCAATGCATCCCGGGAATCCTTACGTTACAAAGGAGTGTGCCGGGCTGCATCCACTGGACTGGGGCTAGGAATCCTGCCTCTGCCATTCTGGGTAAGTCACTTTGGCTACCATCATGAGACCTGGTGCCCAAGGGTTCTGAAAGTCAAACCACGTTGTCTCCAATTTGCTGGTTTCTAGACACTGGAGAATTTCTGCCCTCATCTGTGTCTCAAACTGCCCCCCCTCCTCTAGCTCATCATGTCAAATTCAGCACTGTCTTGGGATCCAAAGTCCCAGCTGTTTGGGGAAACTTTGACATGAGGGAGGGAGAGGAGGAGACCAAGTCCAGTTCCTAGCAAACAGGTGTCCTTTGACAACGACCCCCTTCTTGTCAGTTTCAGCACAGAGGCTAAAGAGCAAACCAGCCTGAAGTTCCCCCTTGTACCTGGTCCAGGTTTTGGTACATGGGTGCTGTGATGTGGGGGTAGCTGCTGGGGCTAGCAGCCTTCAGGGTTGTTAAGAAACACAGAGATTTTATTTTGCTACTAGAGTTTAAACACCAGACTGGAAGACAGTCACATTCCAGGTGAAACCACCTGCTCTCCACCCCCGCCATAGACACAACAGAGATAGCATTGCTCCCCATACCTGTTCTGGAAGGAAGTGCGATGATCAGCCAGGACCACCCCAGGGATCTGCTTGGCCCTCAGAAAGCGCTGGAAGGAAGAAGGCGGGAGAGGCTGAGACTGACTAACCTCCTGTAGAGTCACATTCGCACCCATGCTGCTGTTGATCAGAGCTTCCACCAGAGTTTTAACCTGAAAAGGGAGAGAGAGGAGTCAAGAATGCTCTACTGCTTCCATCACGCTCAGTGTTTGGTCACAGCTACCACGAATGGCCTGGAGCTGAACCGCTTTGGGCTGGGATCATGTCAGTTCTCATGCTAAGCAGGGTCAGGACAGGGTAGTACTTGGAGGGGAGACCGTCACAAACCCAAGTGCTGCAGAAGCAGCAATAATTCAGCAGAGGGTTCTTCTTGCTGGGTCAGTGATGCTGGGGAACGCAGTGGTACACGAGGATGAGTCTAAGTAGAGAGATGGAGCAAGGTCCTGACCTCTCGTGATTATTAAAGATCTCATGGCACTTTCTGCTGGTCAAGGCAATGGCCCTATAATTTGACTACATTGTGAAATTTCATTCTGTTTCCTTAAATTCCCTCATGGTATCAGCTGGACACCGAATTTTTCACTATGCCATGAGCTACTGCGTAGCTTTGTTGTGCTGCTCATTCCACCCCAGAGCTGGTTGCATATCGGGGTCAGAAAAGTTAGCAAGACTCAGTGGGTTCCTCTGGGATGAAAGCTGCTGTTAAATATCTAGGACATTAGAGAGGCTATGGAGAGGGACTCAGAACTAGGAGACTCCCTGCCCCCCCCCACCTCTGACACTAGCAACAGGTCATCAGGTGGTCAGCAAAATCAATGGAAGGAGTCAGACATGCTTATGCCAGTGCCATGCCCTCCTCAAACCACAGTGGGGTGAGGATCTGGCCCTTTGCCCAGCAATGGGGCCTGCTGTCAGCGGAGAGATGCAGCTGCCGAGAAGCCTCTCTGTTCTGCTAGAGCTGTGCTCTGGGATTTTCCCCTGCAGGGTGTAAGCGGCTTTCCCTTTCCCTGGCTTGTACACCACAGCTGGAAACACAGAGAGCAGGCACAGGGACTCAGATTGTCCTCTGTGCAGAAGGGAGAGTTTCATTACCTGTGGTTGAATAGATTCATTCCTCCGAGAGACAGGGTCTGTGTGCACCCAAAGAACAGAGGAGTTCCGTAAAGCCACCTGCAAGAGAACGAGCCACTTGTCAACACACGCTGCTGACCCATCTGGATTTTACAATGCTTGCCTTATTTAGAGCTTGGTGCAGAGGGAAATCGCTGAAAACTCCCCCCAGAGAGACAAGACAGACCGTGGGAGCTACAGTGACCACCACATGGGTGGTCACAAAGAGATCAAAGGGGAGGAACGAGGGCTGGCTGGGGAAAACCCAACTGAATGGTCACCAAGAGATCGGCAGAAAACTTGTCCCGCACCTGACTCAGCTCCAGGAAGGAATGAATGTTGTCCAGGCGGATGGGAAACTTGTCCATTTGCATGTCATATACCATTCGCGAGCTGCCAATGTAATCAAAGGTCTCCTGTGACGGAACAAGTTCATGCATGAACCATAGGCATTTGGATAGTTAATGAGCTCAATCCTAAGCAGTGTTTGAGAGGGGGATGTAGAGAAGGAGAATCTGGAATTAACTCCTCCCCTCATGTCTTTCTAAAAATTCTGCCGTTTGGTGGCATTCCAAACCCCCCTCCTCCAAATAAAAATGCTCTTTGTCGTCTCTTCATGAGTCAGGGACACAGGCCCTGATGGCAGGGATGGGCCTACAGCAATATCTAGAGATCGGCTAATGAATTCCACCAAACCCGAGGAAATCTCCATCCCCATCCCTGTTTCTAGGTGAGGACTGCAGGACACTGTGATCCAGCAGCGGCAGAAAGCAGCACAAACTCCACCTCTCTGTAACGTGTGTGAACAGGCTCTATGGCCCAGACTGACAAGGGTATTTAGGCACCTCAAGATGCATATAGGCGCCTTGAGCCCACAGACAGCCATGGGAGGTGGCTGCCTAACCGGCTTAGCCACTTATGCAAATCCCACCAGTCTCCTTTCTGCACCTTTTGGTGCCTAAAAGCCTTTGAAAAGGCTTCTCGACCCATGGAGTTACTGCTGAGGAACTAGCCCAGATTCACTCCCCATGCGGGCGCTCTTATTCCAAAATCAGGGGTAACTCCATGTGTCGAGAAGCCCTAACTCTGGCTCCATGTGCCTCATGCTCCATTACAGTTAATGGGAGATACATGGGCGCAAAGCCCGGACAGTCTCTGCACATCACTGTAGTATCTGAATGCCACCTCCCGCCTGGATCCGACAGGCCTGCAATGGCTAGGGACAAACCAACGAGTTAGATGTCCTTATTTTCCACTGTTTTGCTCCTCTGAATCACAACGTTAACACTAGTTATTAACCTCAGCTACTAGATCATACCATCTCCCGTGAGACTCTGAATACAAGAGCTTGGGCAGAAATCAGGTTAGGGGATTTCGACTTCTTTCCACCCTCTGGGATGGGGAGGAGGCTGCAACAGGAAATCAGGGGATCCTGCCATCTCATAAGGGGAATGTGCAAGACAGAGATGAGCACCCACTGTAAGAGGCAGAAAGTGTTCTGGGGGTGTCTATAGGTAAAGGCATTCCTACCATCTCTCCAGGGAATGGCAGGAAAAGTCAGGCCGCCACTAGACAACCCTTCCCCAAAGCTCCCGTACAGTGGAACCTGACAACTCTCCCCACCTCCTCTACATGGTACACACAGACTGCCCAATCCACCGTTCCAAGTGCAACTCTTAGGGAAGGACTGACTACAGATGCCCAAGCTGGGGGTGTCACATGGCCACTCCACGGGACCCTGGGTGCTAGCTTTGCAGAGTTACACAAGGGAGGCCATCCATCGCCGCAGATGCCTGGAGGGGAACATCAGCTGCTAACCATCACTCTCCTTCCCTCCCCCAAGAGCTTACCCTGGCTTAACACAGCTGCCAGTGCCAGCTCTTGGAAATTAGCTGCACTGCAGACCGCACATATATTTTTAATCTTGTCTCACCTGGTTTCATTGGAAGATTTACATTGGCAAAGCTGTGACTTATCCTGATGGCAGGGTACAGGTCTAAAGAAGCCTGGAAGGTCCGGGTGAGAAATTAGGGATGCAAGAGACCCGTTCATTCATTGGGTCCATCACCATGTCAGGATAGGCTACAAGTGCATCGGCTTAAGGGAACATGAAGAACCAAGGCACCCAGGCTCTAGGTTTGCAAAGAAACTATTTTGCACCAGGATGAAGAGAGAGAGGCTCTTTGGCTCCCTCAACTAATTGCAACAGTTTAGAGGTGATGCCCCTAGAAAGTGCAGGCCCCACTTGTTAGTGGCTTTTGTGCAGTTCCCTCAACAGGAACTCCATAGTCTCTGTGCTCTTTGTGGGATAGGGCTTGGTGTTGGAGGAGGGATCTCGTGGCTCGGCACAAGGCAGGTGTAGATGCATAGAGGTCTACCAGCATCTGTGGAAGCTGCTGTCGAAAGGGCAGAGTGGATGAGGAGCTGATTACTAGCCCAAGACAAGCTAAGAGGGGATGAAGATCTTACCCCTTGGAAGAAGGTGAACATGATGTTCCTTGGTAGTTTCTGAACGTCTGGCACTTTATGGAGGGCTTCAGCAGCCGCCAAGTGGGTCACGAAGGAGGCGACGGCGCTCTCTGCCCCTGGGGCTACGTTCCAGAAGAATGAATGGCTGTCAATCTGTGAGCACAAGTGGGAGGAGTGAACAACTCACGCACACATGGAGAGACACTAATACAGGGTCACTGGTGGACTGAAGAACGGGCAAACCCGACTGGATAAGACACAGCCAGAATCTTCACCCCCAAACTGAATCCACCCTTGAAACACAAAAGCAACTTGCTCTGCCAGTGACTCTTAACATACTGCTCCCAGAGCTATACCAGTCCCGGAGCCTCACGCGCAGCTGTGCCAATGCATCTCAGTCCTAGCCTGCAGCACATACTTGTATTCCAGGCCTGGATCTCCTGTAAGCAGTACACGCCAACTGTGATGTGCTATTAATGGTTCAACTGATGTTCACTATAGGCTAGACTGTGGCCATTAAACCTGATGACCCAGCGAGTTCTGCTCTCTCATCTGCAGGGGTGGAAAAACAGGGTATGCACCAGCTGTAGGGCGGTCCAGCGGCTAAGGCATCAGATTGGGAACAAGGAGATCTAGGTTCTATTCCCAGCTCTGTCACTGACTCACTGCAAAACCCTGGACACATCACCTATATGACTCGGCCACCCTCCCTCCACCATCTGTCAAAATGGGCTAATCGTATTCATCCCATCTTAGTAAAGTGCTTTGAGGTCAATGGATGAAAACCATCATAGGAGTGCCAGGTATTCACTAATCTGGGCTCCCCCATCATTCAGGTATGAAGATCTATATAACAATATCCACTCTTTTAAGAACAGAGAGTTGATTGGTTTTTTGGACATCACTGTATAACTTGATGGTGATTAGATTCGAGTGTATCCTTCATGGGGAGAAAATCCTGGGTACTAAAGGGCTCTTTAATTTAGCAGCAAAAGGCAGAACAAGATCCAACAGCTGGATGCTAAAGCCAGACAAATTACAATTAGAAATAAGGCTCAGATTTTTAACAGCAAGGGTGATTGACCACTGGAACAAACGACCAAGGGAAGTGGTGGGTTCTTCACCTTCAAATCCAGACTGGATGCCTTTCTGGAAGATATTCTTTAGCTAAGCAAGTTATTGGCCTCAAGCCAGGGGAAATGGGTGAAATTTAACGGCCTGTCTTATACAGGAGACCAGAGTAGATGATCTGGTGGTTCCTTCTGGCCTTAGACTCTATGAATCGATGAGTAAGAAGGCCTGGAATACACTAGACCCTTGAATCTCAAAGCATTTTGGAAACAATTCAGCCTTCACAAGAGGTAGGTACATTTATCATCATTTTATGAGAGGAAAACAGAGTGAGTAGCTTGCCCAGAATCATGCAGCAAGTCAGAGGCAGATCCAGAAATAAAACCCAGGAGTCCCAATATTCTCAGCCCCTACATTAACCAGGAGACACCGCTGGCACCTGAATAACGGCTCCTACCTGCAGAATGATACCAACCACGGCTAGTCAGCAAGATTTAAGGCAGGAGATCTTGATTACAAGCAGGAGAACTTGATGCATATACGAAGGGCAGTCCATAAAGGCACAACTCCCCTAGAAAACCTTCCCTTGCACCCCAGCCCCGAAAAATTAGGTATGACCACCTACTCGAGTAGCAACAATGATGACTTCATCCATAGGGTCTATTTTGCTGGAGGTATTGATGGGTTTCAGCGTGCTCCACACATTATAATCGGACAGAGCGTCGCAGACTTCTTCTAGGAAGCAGAAATAATATGGTTCAAGAGCAGGAACTCTGACAGTAATAAAGAACAAGGAGCTGAAGCTATTCTTTGGCCAGTTTGGGAGGTTCAGAGCTCACCAACTGATCCAACAGCACCAGGCCCCCTTCTAGTGATCAGAGGTGAAATCCTGATCCCACTGAAATCAATGACCAAATTCCCATGGATTTCATTTTGACCCCAATATCACTCTGTGCATTCACTGCTCCTCTACCATTTCGTCTGTTCACCCCATCATCCCCAAAATAAGTCAATCCAAGTAATATACTTAGCAGGCGTTAGGTCCCATCTCACCCCTTATCTCCCTTTCTCAGGGATGTCCTGTGCTGTAGACTACAGTTAAAGCAGTGAGACACCCTGGAGTCCAGAGGTCAGTAAACTATTTACATTACAGCGAGGAAACTGGTGTCACAAAAGCATTTGATTAAGGAAATTAACTGTACGTTGTTCTTGTGTTTTGCATATTTAAGTCTCAATAGTCTGGCAGGTTCTTGGGCTGTGCACTGGGATGGAGGCCAGTGCCATCACTCCAAACCCATAGCCAAGAAGGAATTTGAGAGACCTTAGTTCACCAGAACCACTTTCCTCAACCAAGGGCCAAACGGGTTATTTGCTAGGACTACATGTCCTGTAAATAAAGACTCAGACTACAGCAACAGTCACCTTTAGCACAGAGGCGTGGTCTGTGGTGACTGCAGGTCCCAGCAGGCATTACTTTGGCTTGAATGCTGCCTTCATTACAGAACCTGTGTGAACACAGACCACTCCACCATGTTCAAGGTCAGAGTGGTGCCGGGCTGTATTGTATAAAGCTACGGGTTGTGTTTCCTCTTTCTAATGCACACACCATGTCCCACTTGAATTCCCATCACCAGTCCCCACCCCACCCTGCTAGGAGTGCACTCACCTGGGTTGAGGCTGAAGGCAGTCTGGAGGGAGCTCCGTCTCATGCAGGTAACCGTGTTGGTGACAGCATGCATGTGGGCGAAAAGCTGCATGGCACACAAAGGATACTCTGGGACGGAGCCATTCTGCGGGAGGTTATGGTCTTGGTAGCACTGAGACAGAAATAGAAATAAATACTTATACAGCAGAGTGGTCTAGCAGATAGGACATAGGATTGGGACTCGGGAGACCTGGGTTTTAGTCCCAGTTCTGTAACTGACTAGCTGTGAGATCTTGGGCAAGTCATTTCACTTCCCCTATCTGTGCCTGCTTCCCCCTCCCACCCTTTGTCTATTTAGACTGTAAGCTCCTTGTGGCAGGGACTGCCTTTTGCTGTATGTACAATGCCTAGCACAATGGGGCCCTGGTCTCAGGGAGGGCGCACAGGTGGGTAAGTAGCAGACCCCTACTCTGCCCTTTACAGATGGGTACACAAGCACAGAATAGATATTAAACCAAGATTCCCCTATCAGATGAAGACTCTTAACTGGTTCCAAATTTTAACCTTACATACAAACAGCCTGTTTCCCCCAACCCACCTGCAAAATTTTACTAATTTAGGAAGCTGGCAACTCAGATGAGCATAAGTTAGTGTGGAAGAAAGTATTTCCCTACCGAAGTGGCACAGCTAGACTCCCCTCTGCAAGTGTTAAGGCAGGGGTGGGCAAACTACGGCCCGGGGGCCACATCCGGCCCTTCAGACATTTTAATTCGGCACTTGAGCTCCCATCGAGAAGCAGGGTCCAGGGCTTGCCCCGCTCTGCGTGGCTCCCCAAAGCAGCCGCGTGTCCCCCCTCCGGCTCCTATGCAGCCCCTGCCCCAAGCACCGCCCCCGCAGCCCAGCCAATGGGAGCTGCAGGGGCAGTGCCTGCGGACAGGACAGCACGCAGAGCTGCCTGGCTGCAAAGGAGCGGGGAGATGCCATTGCTTCCAGGAGCTGCTTGAGATAATCACCACCCGGAGTCTGCACCGCTGATCCCCTCCCCTAGCCCTGATCCCCCTCCTGCCCTCGGTACCAGCCCAGAGTACCCTCCTGCACCTCCAACCCCTCATCCCCAGCCCCACCCAAGAGCCTTCACCCCCCAATTTGGTGAGCATTCATGGCCCGCCATACAATTTCCATACCCAGATGTGGCCCTCGGGCCAAAAAGTTTGCCCACATCTGTGTTAAGGTATAGTACCTGCTTAATAACTTGAGTCTCGTTGGCATCTTCAAGTAGAAAGATGGGGAAATTGAAATCCTCGTAAGCAAGGCCATTCCCGAGAGGATTCCACACAGTCCAGTTGCAGTGAGCATACTGAGGGCCATAATTATTGGAATAGACACCTGCGGGCATGGAGAAACAGGCAGGTCAAATCATTGAGGGAACAGCGCAGACTGTTGGAAAGGCAGGGCCCGCTGAGCAAACTGCAGCAGGAACAGAGAGACCACCACCACAGGCTAAGAAACCAACCGCGAAATGAACAGAGAGATGGATTCAGTTGCCACATGTGGGGAAAACAGAAGAGACAGAGCACTGCCAGGTGAAGAGAATGAGAGAGAGGCACATGCAAAGCCATCATGTGCCAAGAGGTTGGCAGAAGCACATAACAAGCATTTATCACATGCTGAGAGAGTGGAAGATGCATACAGAGAAACACTGTACTTTGAAAGAGAGAGAGAGACACACCATTTTCTGAGATCCATCATGTGCTGGAAGCACCTCGAAGCATTTACAAAGCGCCTGTCACTGTAACACCTATGTGCTGTGTGAACAGCATGAAGGTGATGATATGACAAATGCCAACATACCAAACTCACCTTCTGTGTTTCTACAGCACCTTTCATTGCAAAGCATCCCAAAGTGCTGTACAATCTATACATAATATTGCAATCACTTCACCCACCACCAATCTGCAGCCACCTCTGAGGTGGAACACAGCACTGGGTTAGCAGCACGCAGCAGTGGGTTAGGGCAGACAGTGAATAATCATTGAAGTGAATACCCAAATGAGCCTGCAGGGGGAACACAGGGAGGTAGATTGAAGTTCAGAGGGCTGGAATTTGGCCAGGACACTGGGATTAAAAGTGCAATACTATAAAGAGAGCCACAAGACCTTTTAATGACCATAGGTCGTCAGAATGAGTTTCATCCCTCATCTGAAAGAGGAACTGCAGAGAGACCAGGTCAGTCTGCGTGACACAAGGAAGAAACCCCTTAGTGAATCACTAGCATAACTTTCTAGAGCACCTCAGGTGTTCCTTTGAAGGTCTCCCATTTACATACTGACCCCATCCCAACCCTTGTGAAATCTGACAAGATTCCAGCACAAACTGGTTACACCTACAGAATGTTAATGAGCCTAAATGATAAAGCAATAGTTCACACACAATCCCACAGCAAGTGGAAAGCCACAGGTTGTCAGTTTTTTGCAAAACACTTCCTACTCTGATCACCCCGTCCTGAGCCAAACTAAGAGTTTAATGTTTCCTTACCAAACCCATCATTTGGGCATTTTAAGCCAGGGGAGAATCCTTGTGCGGGGCTGGGTTTGGAGATGGCCACAGCCAGCCCAGAAATTCGTGAGGATCCCTTCAGCTGCAGCATCAGCTCCCTGGAACAAAGAGAATGTGGATGAAACGCCCCCCCCCAAATTCCCTGGCAATCTTACCACAAGGAAAGATTTAGGCCAGGGGGGTCTCAAACTTTATTGCACCGTGACCCCTTTCTGACAAAAAAAAATTACTACATGACCCCAGGAGGGGGACTGAAGCCTGAGCTCGCCCGAGCCCCCCCACCCTAAGGGCTTCAGCCCCAGGTGGGGGGCCTGTAGCCTGAGTCCCAGCACCCAGCGCTGACACCCTCAGACTTCGGCCCCGGGCAGTGGGACTCGGGTTCTGGCTTCGACCCCAGGTCCCAGCAAGTCTAATGCCAGCCCTGGTGGCCCCGTTAAAATGGGGTCCTGACCCACTTTGGGGTCCCAACCCACCGTTGGAGAACCACTGATTTAGGCCACGCAGCAGTAAAAGTATCACAAACCAAAAACCATTCCATAAGCTGTACCACACCCTTGTGAGAGAGTTATTTGCTGGGGAACCAGACAGTCATTAGCAGAGCCAGGAGAGAACCCAGGAATCCTGCTCCAACTGCTAAGCCGTCTATTGAGACGCTGGCCGGGGCAGGTACCAGTGTGCAGGAAGAACACTCATTCTAGTTTTCCAATTTACTTTTCTAAAAGTAGGCACAAGGGTCTGGTTTTCAGTGGCGTTCAGCACCCACAGCCTACAAAGGGTGCTTCAGAGGCACAGCACAGCCAAAAACCAGGGCTTTGGGGACCAATTCCCAGGGACCCATCTCAAGCGAATTCAGAATTCCAGATTTGGCTGCTCAAACACACACAGGCGCTTGTCCCGAGGGCCCAAATGGCAAATGTGGCCACTGGATTTAGGGCCCCTGTGTTTGCAATTTCGGCTCACGCTGCTTTGGCAGAGAAGAGGCGATTAAGAATGGTTAAAATTCACCATAGCTCCTTACCTGGTGAAAAGCTCCCCCTCTAGCAGTACCATGTAGGGGGGATGGGGTCCATCAGTAAGCACCCATTTCAGATCCTGCTCCTTCTCCACCACATGGATTACTCCTGTGTCTCCACTCATGGAGGCTGCAGAGAGAAAGACAGAATTCTCCATGGTTCACCAAAATCCATTTCCCTCACAGCTGTACACTTTCTGGGCACTTCAGTGAAAGAAAGATCAACATATGGGATTAGAGGGAAGAAGCAACTGACTTGCACAGTTCAGCTAAGAGATGACCAACAACCAAAAAACCACAGACATCTTTTAGATGAATGAGGCTGAAAGAGGAGTTTAAGAGATAATCATACTAATCATCTGCCCTTTTAAAGCAGATTTTATCTAAAGATTTTGAAGTACTTTAGGTACATCAATGAATTAAACATCACCTGCCTCTTGGGGGAAGAGGGAGGATGTTGAGTATGAACCTTACTGTATACAGGGGAAATGAGGCACAGAGATGGGAAGTACGAGGAGGAACAGGAGAAGTCAGCCACCAGCAAGCGGGGAATGTCCAGAAGAGAAGGAAAGAAGGGAACATATCAGCTGAGAGTACATCTGGGGAAGCACGTGCAGTGAGACAGGAGGGGTCCTACCAGCAGAAAAGCCATGTGCAGGACAGATCGGGGCAGGAATCAAACGACAATCAAAAGAAAACAAGGTGCTTAACATTTTCCAAAAGCACGTATTGGAAAAGCACAGGGGCCCTACATCCATTAGAGACAGCTAAAGATACACAGATGTGATCACATTTCCTGGTCAGTAATTGCTGTAGTTGTCACCGGAGTATTATGGGATTGGGAAAGGAGGGGCCCATAAAACAATCTGTATTAAGAGGTGGCTCACACCACTATATGAGAAAGTTGGAACACCAGCTAGGGGAGATGGCCACGTACAGTTAGTTGTTCTGCCCTTTAACTGCTGCTGACACGGTCCACATTGGAGTGTGGTTCACGCTGAGGACACATGATGAGACTCAACCACAAATGAACAAAATGCTGACTCACAAGAAACCCTTTCTGCACAGCACCAATAGCAGCAGAGGAACTCTATTAGATCAGTGCTCCTTCTCCGTCATCCCAGCAACCCACAAACCTCGGTAGTACAACAAACCCACAAAACTAAAACCACAGCCCATGGAGAGTTTGAAAAGAATACTCTAGACAGAGGAAAGCACGTGAAGGGGAGGATGCCCAACTGATTACACACACCCTGGAACCAATTCGATAGGAACAAAAGACATGTGACTGACCAGTGGCATGTTAGGCATGTCGCCTTACCGAAGCAACTACACATGCTGTGGTTTATCAGTAACTATGCAAAAGACAAGAAAACTGACACAAAACTACATTACAGAAAACAATACAAAGAAATTTCACAATGAGAGGCCTGTGTTATAGAGGGACAGGTCAGTGCACAAGGCTCCTTGGTTTTGGGAGGATACTAAGGAAACTTTTGAGCCGTGGTGAAATCTAACTATTTAAATAAGAGGAAATCTCCTACTATCATCTCATGGATATTAAGCTAATTACATATGAATGTGATAGGACTTGGCAGCAAGAGAGATCAAAGCAATTTTGGGCAGTGTTGCCAACTCTCACCATTTTATTGCAAGCCTTGATTTCATGATTTTAAGCCAATCTCAGGATTTCTGAAGTTCCTTGGGTTGGGAATACCAGGAAGCAGTGAAGTGATAGCACCTCTCATATGGCCCTAGTGCAATCACACCTGGAGCATACAGCTTTCATTTTTAGGCACTACATTACTAGAAAGACATTGACAAACTAAAAATAGTGCAGGAAGAAGCCACAAAAATGAGTGTTCTCTCAGTAAGTGAAAGAGAGGTGATTGCTTCTTCCACTTAAAGTAAAATAACCATTTACAATACTTACATTGACAGCCTATTTGATGAGTGGCATTCAAAAGACGAACACACGGGGCAGTCTTGTTTAAGGGGATATAGATTTTTCTCTCTACAGAATTAGCCCAACAGAAACCTGAAGAGAAAGAAACAAAATTCAGGATAAATAAGAGACCACACCCACTTGGTTCTGTAACAAGAACAAACTCAATTTCATCTAGGTCTTGTTGCCTTCTGAGTGAAAATTAAAGGTACCCAACTCAAGTAATTCCTAGACTCTCTGCTAAATGCCAACTGAATAATTCACTTCCCAGTAAATTCCCTTGCAGTTTTAACTGAAGTATTCTTCATTTCCTTTCACTCCCACTGCTGTATAGTGTTGATACGTGCTGTTTAAAAGCTATCACGTACCTAACCTGAAGAGGCTGCTTTTCAGCCGTGGGTGGAGCTCTGTGAAGTTTGGATGAAAGATGCTATATGCAACATGAACCAATTTAGAAACACAGCAGAATAAAGAAGCCAGTTCTCAGTTCTGTTGTCCAACAATCATTACAAAGGCACACTAGAATGCCCATATCTCTGAACCAACAGTTATAATGAGGGTGGATTGATTTTAGCAGTCCATACACTGGATCTGGAGCCAGGAACGTGAGGGTTCTAATCCCAGCTCAGACACACACTCAGTAAGAGACCTCGTGCAAGGCCACATCACTTCTGTGTGCCTCGGTCTCCCTATCTGAAAAACATGTGTAATAGTAACCTTTCTGACAGGGGTGCTGTGAGGATCAATGTTTGCATAACATTTTCGAAGATACTAAGTGCTAAGTAAGGACTGTGATTTTTATTAGAGCAACAACAATCCTTAGCTCTTATGTAGCACTTTCCAAAGGTCAGTATCATTATCCCCATTTCCTGATGAGGAAACTGAGGTGAGAGGGGCTAAGTGACCTGCTCCAGGCCATCCACAGGCAAGGGCAGACCTGGAAATAGAATCCGGTCTCCTGAGTCCCAGTCTAGTAAGCTCACAAAGCATCTCAACACATCTATGTGGCTTTGTTATTTACTCAAACTTTTACCTGGGTATTCCTAATTCTGGGTAAGTGACAGAACTGATGATCAGCTTCACTTTGGATACATAAATGGTGTATTGTCTTGACAAATTGCACAAACGTTATAGATTTGGTAATAATGCCACACATAAGCATAAGATACCCTATTTCATTCTTTTCTACTTACTGCCGTATTTCAGAATGAAATTTCATATGAAACGTGCTATTAAAAAAACCCAACGTATCCCCAATTAAATGATATGCAAATTAGGATTATTTCCACAACTCTGGAAGCTAGGCTCTCCAAATAAAATCAATTGACTTTAACGTGCACACTAAGCGAATGCAGTGAGGTAGAAGACAGCGTGTGGAACGAAGGATGATATCTGATGGAAGCTCCCACAGTCGCGGTTCGTTTTACCCAAATGAAAAGCCAGCCACAAAACACTAGTGTGGGTTCAGCATTGTCGTCCCAGCAATGCCCGTCACCACACACTGGGTGCTCACCCCCCACCGTTTAGCACCGTGCCTTGGGGAGCTCTCAGCAAGTGGGAAGAAATCCCAGCACAACTAAGCTGAGCAGCAACAAATTCCCAGCCTGCCAGGACCCCAGGACAGGGGCATCACCAGCCTGCTGCTGACTTGACCTTCTCCCATCAAGAGAGAAACTTGTTTATCTGGAGTCCTTCCTTCTACAGATGCTGTCTGCCCCCCGCCAAACCCCCCACCCCTGCTCAGACCCTGCTCCAGGCTTGAGCGTCTCAAGCCTCAACAGAGACGCCACCAACCCCTACAAGGGCTGTATCAACCTTCCACTCCTCTGCCC